AATTCTTTTAAATTATTAGTATTTAATATTACCGCTAACAAACGGTCAATTCCTAAACCAATTCCGCCATGGGGGGGAGCCGCAAATTCTAATGCTCGCAAAAAATAACCGAAATTTTTTTCTCTTTCTTCCTGCTTATAACCTGATATTTGTAATACTTTTTCTTGTAAATCTCGTTGATAAATACGGATACTACCGCTTAATAATTCCTCGCCATTGCAAATTAAATCAAATGCTTCTCCAATTACTTTTTCAGGCTTAATTTTATCATTTAATAAGGGTTCGATATATTTTTTTTTCGGAATGGTGAAAGGGTGTCTAAAAGATTCATATTTTTTCACTTCTTGATTATACTCAAAAAGAGGTCAGTCGGTTATTCACAAAAAATTTAATGCTTGGTCATTTTGGGGATTTCGGCGTAAATCGGGTTTATCAGTGCCGTATTTTTTTATTACTTGCTGATAGGTTAAAGTCGGAAAGGGGGCGGTTATTTGATAACCAAAAACTTTTTTTAGGATGGTTTGAAGTAATTTTTCCACCAACTTTTTGATTGCTTGTTCGGAGGCAAAACTTAACTCTAAATCTAATTGAGAAAATTCAATTTGGCGATTACTTCGGGCGTCCTCATTGCGAAAACTTTTATCAATTTGATAATGCTTGTCAAAACCGCTCATCATTAACAATTGTTTGAAAATTTGGGGGGATTGAGGCAAGGTATAATAACGATTGGGGAGATTAGAGGGTACCACAAAACAGCGAGCCCCTTCGGGGGAACTTTGGGCTAGGATGGGCGTTTCAATGTCAACAAATCCTCGCTTGTGAAGAAAATTTCTTATTTCATGGCATAATTTATCCTTAATAAGCAGAAATTTTTTGCTGCGGGGACGGCGCAAATCTAAATAACGATAGCGGTATTTAGTGTCCTCATTGATATTGGCATCGTCTCTAATTTCAAAAGGTCATTCTCGGCTTGTATTGATTAATCGAAACTTCGTCAACTCGATTTCTAACCTTTTTTCTGGTCCTTCTTTTTTTTTGACAACTCCTCAGATTTTTAATAAGTCCCCTTTTTTTCTTTTTTTTAACTGTGAAATCAATTCTTTGTCCTTAACTACAATTTGAATATAACCGCTACTATCTTGACCGTTAATGAATCACAAATAACTACTTAATTTTTTAATTTCGACAATTCAAATATAAAGCGCGGTAATCTTGCCTATTTTTTTGGTGGTCAATTTAGCAATTCGGGAGAAAGAAGTCATTGTTCTTATAAAGTAATTTTAAACCAACAACTTTCTTGCTCCGCTACCTATTTTCTACTCCTCATCAATGTTTTTCTGTGAACTTCGCTGAAAATAATAAATAGCCAGTCCCACTACGGCAATTATTCCCACTATAATCAGACCAATAGCCCAAATTGGCAATCCTGACGGTTTATTATTATTATTTTGGCTGTTATCAGGGCTATCCTGTTTTGTTTGTTGGTATCGTTGTTTCTCTTCCTTAATTTCTTTTAATACTGCGTCAATCGTGCTTTTATACTTCTGATAGGCTTTGCCTTTTTCTT